ACCGGACATATACTTATTGTATTGAACGATCGTAAGGGCTTCGATACAATTTGTTGTCTTTTATTTGGTACATCCACCATTATGTTTCGATATTCATTAGAAATATAGGACACATTCCTCTTATCTCTCCATTTTCCTATGAGTACTCCATCTGCATACCTTCCCATTACTTCACCTTTTTTAACTTACTGTCTTTTATTTCCTTCGGTACATGCTTTCTGTCCAATCTTAAAGTTCCCGTACAGTGTGTTTTATGATTCAATAGTGTTCTAGCTAATAAAAAACTGTTATAATAATTGTCCATATACACACTATGTCCTACTTCCAAAAAAACCGTCCAATAAATGCATTACCACTTTTGATGCATGATCTTTACCACCCAGATCGTCCAGTTTTCCTGCATAAACGGCAAATTTTAAAACCATACCAGTTGGGGTTGTCAGCATGTATAATTTAATGCCATATTTATGCCTCTTATTTTTTATATATTGGCGAAATTGAAGTCTGCCTCGCCATAACACCATAGACTCATCTAAACTTAGCTCCCGTCCTGGATAATACAGTGCACATACTTTTTCGTTAAAAAAATTAATTAGGTATCTAATCTTCAATAATTTGTCTTCAGGTAAAATACCATTTTCTCTATTTTCCGTGAAATTCAGGCAACGCATTATCAATAAAAACCGATTTCGGCTCATAACTTTGTGAAATATCCCAATGCTATATAACTCATCTTGTCGCCAATAGTCTTGGACACGGTTTATTCGAATATTGCCCATGTGTAACAGTAAGCCTATGAACAGTAACAAATCTTCAGAAGTTAACTGTTTCCAGTTAGTTATCCTGGATTTAAAGCATGTTCTTTCAGATAAAAATAGATTAATGGCGTAACTGTTACTCAAATCACAAATTTTTGTAATAAAATCGTCTGTCACAAACAATCTAAAATATTCAATCGGTGTCATTCCAGTTACGTCTACTAATAATCTTTCGTGTTCAGTAAATTCAAAAACATCTTTCATTGTGGTTGGATTTAAAGAAAATTGTATAGACTGGTCTTGATTATGAGAAAGGTTTTGTGGACGTTCATTATCATTATTTTGTAACACGTACTGTTGTACACCAATATCATTTTCAGAATCCTCAGAATATACTTCGTCCGATTCATCCAAATCACCAAATACCATCTCGTCCTCGTCGGAGCTGTCATGTTCCAGTAAATATAGTAGTTCTTTTTCACTTAAAGGCTGTTTTAAATCAATTTTTACCTTTTTTGGTTGAGAAGGTCCTGCCACAATGTTATTACTTTCCGCCATTTTCACTAGACTGTCAACATACACTGGTACTGTCAAATCAAAAACCGCGCAATGTAAATCATAACCTATGATCGATCCTAGCAGGCCGACACTTATTTTTAAACTCATTCCATAAGCCGTATTTAAAAACCTACATTATAGAGCTTACAGCTATATCACGCACTGGCGCGTGATCGGCCTTTTTCCAAGTACGACCATCACGCACTGGCGCGTGATCGGCAGCGAACGAGTTAAACTATACTAAAGACGATGTTAAAAAACGTTAGAGTTAATTAAAAATTGTATGAGTGAGCGAGAAGCCTCAAGAATATTTAATATTCCCAGAGCCACTATAAGTTACCGGAAAAGTGAAAAATTTTATTACAAGATAATCCATGGACATTTCTTTCGAAGGATGAAGAGGAACAACTGAAACTCTTGATTTTTCATTGTCAAAATAGATGATTTCCTGTTCGTCTTGACGACAATTTTAGAGAGTAACCCTAGAGTTAATCCATTTGTTGAAAATAGACCAGGTAGAACATGGCTATCAGCATTTCTAAAGCGCAATCCCAACATTTCGCTAAGGACTAGATAGGGAGTGACATCAGCAACCAAACATTAACCAAAGGGATATTACCAAATGGTTTGACAACATAAAATCTTATCTAAATAAAAAAGAATTTTCAGACATTCTTTAAGAACCAACAAAAATTTTCAATGGTGACGAGACATGTATTTATCTATGTCCCAAAAATAAAAAGGTTTTGGCTATGAAGGGTTCCAGAAACGTCTATGAAATTGAACATAACTCAAAGGTTAACTTAACGTTATTTTCACATTTTCTGCAATATGCAATATTTTACCTCCTATGATAATTTATCCCCATAAACGATTTCCAAATGATATACTAAGTGCTGTGCCGAATTCGTGGGGTACTGGTTTAACTGAAAATAGTTAGATGGACAACAAAAACTTCTATGAATATATTGGAAATATATTTAACCCTTATTTAGATCGAAATAATATGATACGTCCGGTGATACTTTTTGTTGATGGACATAAAAGCCATTTAACTGTACAGACAAGTCAACTTTGTACAGATTTGAAAATTATTTTAGTAGCTTTATATCATAATGCCACAAGATTATTGCAACCAGCGGATGTGGCTGCATTTAAGCCTCTAAAACCTTTTTGGAACAAAGCTATGCTTCAGTTTAGGAGAGACAACCCCCAAAAAGTGTTAACGAAAGAACAGTTTGCCCCTGTTTTAAAATCTGCTATAGATAGGTTAAATCCAGATGTTATCAGAAGTGGGTTTAGGGCATGAGGTATATTTCCTTGGAATTCTTCTGCTCTTGACTATTCAAAATGTCTTGAAAAAGAATTTGAAACTAAAGATAATCTGGACGAGCACAATGATTTACCAACACTTATTAATCCAAATACAACAATTTCTTATAAACAATTTTGTGAAATAGTTGGCAATGCCAAAATTAAAGAGCTATGTCGAAATAATTGTAAAACTCAATCTAATGATTACCAAATATTGAAACAAATCTTTTCAGCATTTACAGAAAAGTCATCGGTCGAAATTTCTACAAACGACGAACAAGAAAATATTTTAGAAGAAGAAGTAAAATTTTTAGACACAAGTGAAGTAATTTTCGATATAAATGATATAATATCTATAATAATAGATGATACTGAAATTGTAGACATTCCTGAAAACGAGAACGAAACCTTGATGGTACCTGAGAATGAAATTTTCAACATCCAAGAATACAAGAATATACAAATCAAGCTGAATCAACTTTGACAAAAATGGTTAAGGGTCAAAAAATCAAAAAACCCGAGAAATCCCTAAACATTTCTGAAAATATATCTGTAAATTCTACAAATAAATCTATTTCGACTTAGTTAATATGGCCAGATACTTCAGCACTAAAAGGAAAGAAGGAAACTCAAAAGCTTCCATTTGTTCTAACTTCATCAGATAGAAGAAAAATAGAAAAAAAAATGAAAAAAAAATTAGAAGAGTAGCGTAAAAAAGGAACAGAGGAACCTTGAAAGAAAAGAAAAACAGATTATTAAGGAAAATCAAAATAAAATAAAAAGCTCGAATAATACTAATCTCCAAAAATTAGCTAAAACTTTTAAGTCCGAAGAGAAAAGTAGAAAACCCATAGAAATGACCTCAACAAAATAAAAAAAAGGTGTAAAAGTTCACATTCCTATTGAAAAATATTAAAAAAAGATAAAAATGCATTGAAAGTGTTTTCTCCACTAAACTAGAAAAGTACAAGTAACAATATTGAGGTTTTTGAGCCACCACTACCTGAATTTGTCAAAGTTCCTATACCAGAATCTCATTCTTATACAAAACCATCAAGCTCTGTAAATAACCAAAATAATATTGAGATTTTCAAGCATTTACCTGCACCAGAAGCGAATTTGAATTTATCTCCGAAAATATTTCTCGCCCACACTAAATCTCCAAGCTCTGAGAAAAAAATTGTACCCAAACGTAAATTATTTGATAATAATAAAGATCAGTCCTCAACAAAAATTACAATTCTATCTGATAATTTATTATCAAATATTCCTTCACACTTTGAAAATTGAAACTTGGTATCAAACGTTCTTCCGCGTTTTAAAAATAAAAACTTGGTATCAAACATTCCATCACATTTGAAAAATCAAAAACTTACTAAAGGTGCATGTTATCTATGTGTACTGAATATTACAGAGTGTAAAGAAGGGATTAGATGCCAAATATGTCTTAAAACATATCATGTAACTTGCATAACAAGATTTTGTGGCGACACAGATCAAGTATATGTTTGCGAATCTTGCCAAAATAAAAAAATAAAAGTTAACTTTGACATGTGTTTTTTTTTGTATCCACACTCATCACAAAATCCTTGCTTACCCAAACACCTACCTATCTATCTATTTTAACTTACGAATTATTTGGTAAAATATCTCTTTAAAAAATGATGGCCAATCACTAACACATATGGTGTCAATAACTGGAACAGGGTGGCCAATAACTGGTTCATTTGCACGATTACAAAAGAACACAAAATATTTTCACACATGAAATATTAACGTAATAAAATTTTGCAATATGTAGAAATAATAATAAAATTCCATGGTGTTAAAAATAGTTACAATAGGCCACAGTGACAAAACATTTCATAGATATATCGACGTGCTCTCCTTAAGAGGACAATAACTGGTGCTCTTACCCCATACTGAAAATTCGTTAGGTTGCAAATGTAGTGTCCATAATGTGTAACTGACTGGAGTACACCAGTCAGTGTAGAAGATTTAGAAGCCAGAAGAAAAGGTAAAATAGAAATGAATATACTAAACGAAAAATGGCTATAAAGCAGCAAAGATAAAAAAAGCAAAAGAAACGAGAGTACTGCGTATTAAAATTATAAGGCATGGAAAATCCTGTGACAACAAAAAGATTAAAATGTTTTCCCAGAAGTCGAAGTCAATAAAGCTTTGGGTTCCGAAATCGCATGCAGCTGCAGAAGTAAAAAAAACCTAATAGGTGACTTAACAAGAAAACTAGATAGTTGCGCTGCTTACTTTGAGGAACTGCTATTTTTGTCGTAAAATGTCAACAAAAAATAAAAATATTAAAAATAAAAAAAAAATGTAAAATATTATGAAACAACAAAACTATTTTACCATTCTCTGGCACCACCCAACGATACAAGCTTTCTTCATGTTTTCTTCTGTAAGTAATGAAGGTTTTTCCAGCATCCTGTAGGCATAGACAGAAAATATTGCCTTACCAATATATCTTGGCTGATCTAGGTTAACATTGTAGTGTAACATATGAGAATATTTTTCTCTTAGATCCGGATATGCTCCGTGATAAATAAGTTGTTCGTCTAGAATTTCCTCGCAAATTGAAGGAAAAGCTTCGTACATTAGATTTGTTTCAAAGGACAAATCAACTGGTTTACATTTGGTTTGGAATCTAAAAAAAATGTAATTTTCTGTGTTACTTTATTGTCTGTTTGTTACTTTTAGATAGAGATAACAATAAATCGCAGCAGACAACACCTTATTCAACCATTCGCTTATAATTATTTAAAAATAAACATCATGTTTTCTCTTCAAAAACCCCCAACAAAAGTATATTTGGCAGAATAACCATATCAATAATTACATAATAACAAATAGAGAAATAATACTAAAATTAATTTTTGGCGTAAGGGCTTTACTAAATTACTTACTTCATAGCGTTACAACCTTTCGTGGGTTTTAGCCTACTTGACAACATACCTCCATTTCTATCAGACTTGAGCAATCTTCATTCAATTCATTTTTGCCCATAGCTTTAAGCTTACCTGCTATATGATCTTGCCATCGGAGTCGAGGTCGTCTACATGGTCTACTTTTAGTTGGGGCTTCTTCTCATACCAAATATTTTCTCGTCAGAATGTCTTCTGATGTGTCCTACCCACTGAAGTTTTCTGGTCTTTATTTATTTTATTCCTTTATTCCCAAACCTTTAACTATCGACGATCACAATAAATTAATAACAGACTCGGTTAGAAACGCACAACTCAAATTTTGCAAGAAAAATGACACCAAAAGTGAAAGGATTAGCAAAAATACAAAAGCTGTCATGGAAATACGACGAAGCCTAAGCAAGAACGAAAAGGAAAACAAAGAAGAATATAAAAAACTAAATAAAAGAATTTCAGCGAAAATTAGAAAAGATGTAAGAAGATATAATAATAATGCAGTTACTCAAACAGTAGAAGAGAACAAAGGTTTAAAGATAATAAAAAGAAAACTCACACAAAGAAAAAAAAATATACAAGCTAAGAGATAAAGACGGAAAGGCAACAACAGATAAACAAAACATTCTGAAAATAACCAGAGAGTTTTATAAAAACCTCTATACCAGCCAAAGACCACAAGACAATTTCCCGACACGAGTAAAGACTCTCATAAATCAGGGATCGGAAATACTTTTACCCATTACTGTGTCAGAAATAAGAGCAGCTTTAAAGGAAATGAAGAACCATCGGTCGCCTGGTAATGATGGACTCGTTATCAAGGCAATAAAAGCAAGAGGAGAAATTGTATTAAAATCAGTAAGCGAACTGTTTAATAAATGCTTACATGCGCGTACAATTCCAGAAGACTGGAACGATGCAGTAATAGCCTTGTTACACAAAAAGGCGATATTACTAAATTAGAAAATTATAGACTCATCAGCCTCTTGAAACATTCCTATATGTACAAACTCTTTATAAAAATCTTAACAAAGAGGCTAACACCTAAACTTGATTTCTATCAGCCCAAAGAACAGGCAGGCTTCAGGGCAGGATATGGCACAAATGACCATTTGCATACCATAAAGCTCTTAATAGAAAAGTTCATCGAGTACAACATACCACTGGTTCTTGCATTTGTCGATTATGTGAAGGCTTTTGATTCTGTAGAGTTTGAAACAATACTGGAAGCCCTAAATCAAAGCCGAATAAATTACAGGTACACGACACTAATCAAAAATATCTACGAGAACGCTACATCAAGTATACGACTACACGAAGACACAGAAAAATTTAGCTTAGGTCGAGGAGTTAGACAAGGAGACAATATTTTACCAAAATTGTTCACGACAGCTCTAGAGTGAATATTTAAGAGCACTCAATGGCAAGATATGGGCATCAATATAAATGGAGAAAGATTAAATCACCTAAGATTTGCAGATGATATTGTATTAATCGCAGATAATTTACATGATGCAGTGATGCATTCTCTTAAAAGTCTGTTTGAAAGAGCAGGATTAAAGATAAACTTTGAGAAAACTAAACTTATAACAAATCTCGTAATGAGTGGAAATATAACTATTGACAATAATACCATACAACAAACAGACACTTAATATCTGGGACACGAAATCAAAATAAGCAGAGACAATCAAACACATGAAATACAGAGGCGAATAGATATTCTAAAAAGTTTAATTCCCACATGTCTCAAGCGAAAGGTTTATAACCAATGTGTTTTACCTGTTCAAACTTATGGAGCAGAGACTTTAACACTCACGCAAAAATCTGCGAATAAACTCAGAGTTACACAACGAGCCATGTAACGTGCAATGCTGAACGTGAGCCTTCGAGACCACATATCAAACCAAAAAATCAGTCAAAGATCAGGAGTTCAAGACGTCGTCGAAAGAACCAGGACGCTCAAGTGGAACTGGGCAGGGCACTTAGCCAGAACACAAGATGAACGGTGGACAAGACGTATTATGGAATGGAGGCCCAGAAACTATAAAAGAAGCAGAGGACGACCACCGACTAGATAGACTGATGATATAAAACATGTAGCAGGAAACTGGCTACAAGCGGCCCAGTGTAGAGAACACTGAAAAGAACTGAGGGAGGCCTATGTCCAGTAGTGGACGTTATTGGCTAATTGATGATGATTTATTTCATTATGTGAGCGTTTAAATACAGTTATTTGGGCTCTTTGTTATTTATTAATTTATACTGTCCTGTTGCGCCATTAAGCGCAGGACCGAAGATCTTCCTTAGAATTCTTCTTTTCCAAATACGTAGTCGTCCTTCGCTTGCCCTTATAATTATCCACGTTTTGCTACCATACATCAGTAAGGGTCATATGTTTGTTTTATATATTGGTATCCTTGTATGTCTTGTTACATATATTTTTTTTTAATTTTATATAGTTTTAAAGGATATAAAGACATCTGTTGTCGGCTTGTATCCTATTGTTTTTTCTTGCAATCTGTTATTGTGTTTAGTTATTGTTATTCCAAAATTCTTTAATTTTTTAAAATCCACAAGGAAAATAATTCCTGCAGCTGGCTGTATACCACGTATCATAAAAAAGAGGTTAATCTTTGTAATTTGGTATATTAAAAAAAAAACGCTTAAAAGGGCTACATCAAAAAACACGAACGTTTTCGGAATGACAATTCCATCATCAGGGTGTTGGGGTGTGCATTTCTAGGTGTATACGGCCATCACACACCCCGCGGTGTATGTAAAGATATATGTAGGTATTAATCTACATATGCCAAAATCTGTTGAAATATGATCTAAATCTAAATAAAAATAAAAAAATGTAGGTAACAAAAAAAATATAAAGCTTTTTTTTATTTAATTAGATGGCTTTGGTAAAGACCAATTAGCCAGAAAAAATATAAAGTTAAATCTAAAAATCCTCTTCGAGTTGTTCGGAAGAACTCAAATCGTACGGGCGTGTTTAAATTATCGGTGTTAATTAATAGTATCGATAACAAGTTCTTTTCTTCCTTGCTTTTTGTTTTGCGATAAACAAACAATTTTTGGTGAAACTATAGGTGTTTTTTTTTGATGAGTGAATTAATTGGGGGTAGTAAGCCCCCAGATCCTGATCCAGACCCTAACCCTTATGATAAAGATGAAAATCAGGTTGGTATGATGGAATTTACAAATATGAAAACAATTTCACAAAAACAAGATAACCAGAATGTAAGTACTAATTTAATGTCTAATTGTTTGGGAAAAAACGGAAATGTTTCTAACGTCAATGAGAAGGTAAATAATAGACAGGTTTATTTATATACAAATAAAGATACCGGACCTTATCATGTTTAGGTAGAAAATTGCTCCGGATCATTCAACGGTAAGTTAAATGCTTTAACAGTTGGTGACATCATTCTTTCTGCGTTTCCTGAATTGGACTCAAAAATTACAAATATTGATTCCATAGGTCGTAATAGAATTAGGATTAAATTAACAGACTACAAAATGCAAATTATTTAATGAATTACAAAAATTCATCAGTGTTTGTTACAAATAATTTAGAATTATATATACCTAAATTCATTCTGTTCCGACAAGGAATAATTAGAGATATTGATAAACAATTTTCTGAAGAATATGTAAAATCAAAAATTAAACAATATGATAGTCATTGTAACTTTGAAATTTTAAACGTTCGGCAAATTAAACGCAAAGAGGAAGTAATTGAAAACGATTCAAAAAAAAAAATAATTTACGTTCTCACAAAATCGTATATTGTTTCCTTTAAATCTCAGATATTCACGCGTTATATATCAATAAATAAAGTTATTAAAGAGGTTGAATACTATACACAAAAAGTTTTAATTTATATTGTTCTGAAGCTATTTTCTTGTAGGATTTTAAATTAATTACTATTTAACTAGAAATAAGCTACAATTAAAGGTAAAAATACGTTTATTGACGTTTCAATTTCCACTTCGGAAATCGTTCTCAAAATACAAACAGTAAATTTACTGTGGGACAAAACGTGCCTGGAAACAGCCCGACGCAGAAAATTAACTTATATTAAATATAAGCAAAATCCTACAATAAGTAACCTAATAGAATATAAAAAGATGGACGCATTAGCAAAGAAAACATTTAAGGAGAAAAAAAGAAAAAACTGGAATGAGTATTGTGAAAGTTTAAATCAAAATACTCCCATTAAGGAGGTATGTAGGAAATTTAATTGCTTCAAAAATCGCAAACATCCAATAATTTATCTATTGACCCGGACGAACCATGGATAACAAAGTTTTACCATAAAATTTCACCAAAAACACCATTGCGTTCCAAATGATATTACCAACTCCAAAGCCACTGTTTCTGGAGATAACCTTAGCTTAGATCGTCCGTCTATCTATGGGAACTAAGAAGGGTCTTCAAACAAAATAATGGTACTGCTCCTGGTAAAGACAATATATCTTATTCTATGATCACTAACCTGAAAATGAACATAAAATCTATCTACTTAATGTTCTAAATAATATTTGGCAGAGACAAGCACCAATTCCAGAAAGCTGAAAGGAGTATATTATAATACCTATAAGGAAACTTGGCAAACGTGATAATGATCACAATTTATATCGCCCAATTTCTCTAGCTTCTTGTCTTCTTAAAACCCTGGAAAGACTAATTAAACATAGACTAGAACATTGGTTAGAATTTAATGACATTATTCCAAACTCCCAATTTGGTTTTCGTAAATATAAATTCAAGTTCAAGTCAATTTTATGGAAAATCCTTGAACAAAAGTTATTGTCAGTCGGGATACCTGTAGGTTTAACATCCTTTTTGAAAACTTTGTACTCAGAGAGATTGATTTACTTAAAAATCAATGAGGAAACTTTTTCTCCTCAACTGTGTAATATAGGACTGCCGCATGCCACAGGGAAGTATTTTAAGTCCACTTTTATATATTTTATATAAT